GAACCCAAACAAGGGGGATGGATGGATCTCTGCCCGGAGTTTCAGGATGCGACTCCCCGAGTGTCCGGTGCGCTGGGCCGATCGATACTTCATATGATGAGGTAGGTGCTCGAGCATCTGTCTAGTGTGGGAACTGGTGGCGGAAGGGTGGTGCAGAAACGTGGCGTGTTTCTGGTTTTTTCCTGTCGTACAATCTGAAAATGATTTCATGAAAATGAGAAGGAAACTATGAACAATCGAGCATCCTAATCACATTGACTCCCAACTAATTCGTATAAATGTTTCTCAGTGGTTCTGGACCCTGGCTGCATGAGTCACCTGGGGAGTTTTTTTAAAGTGCGGATGCCCAGGCTCGTTGCCCCTAATTTAAAGGTTCTCATACCTTGCTTGTTCAAAACAGACAGACTCCCTTCACTTCACAAGAAGGTTTCATTTGCCCAGTCTTGCTGGGGACAGTGGCAAATCCAACGTTTTCATAGAGGAGCAGTTTGGAGCCCACAGTCCGGCTGTTGCAGTGTTTATGTGTGCGCGCGTGCCTTCACACACACACGTGGAGCTGTGTTTTGTCCAGTATTTGCGTCACACTGACATATCCATCGTCAAAGGGGTAGGCCTGGGGGTTGGAAAATCAGAGGTCCTGCCACTAACCTTTTGTTAAAAAAAACCTAAAAACTTAAAAAGCAAACGAACAAACAGAAAAACACTAAAGCTTATCCCCGTAGTAGAAACCCTCATTTTTGATGGAAACCTAAATCAATCTTAAACACGGTATAGCAAACACCATTGAACGTCTTCGTGATACTGTGAGGACTTTGTGGGCTGAAACTTGGGTTGGCCGTCCCTACACCAGGTGGCACCTTGACACCCCTGCACTGTTCTCACACTCTGTCCTCTCCCTCCTCAGTGGGTATTACTTGTCTGGCCCGTGTCCACTGAACACTTTCTAACTTTGATGCTGAAGCTGTCGTGAAGTGGAAAAGCGGTGAGTGATGTCACGGGAGTACATGAAAGCTCCCAGCAGGAGCGCCCACCTGACGGAGAAACTGCAAGGGACTTGGATGTTGCAGCGCTGACTTCGTCTCCTCAGATATAGGCCTGACTCTTGTCGATGTGTTCCAGACATTGAGGCTGCAACTGAGACCCCCAGATAAAAAAAAACCTCAACCCAGCATTAACGCCCATCATCTATTTTATAAGGACCAATAGCATCTGAGAGGCCAAAAGAGAATGTGTTTTCTAACTAGTCACAGTTAAGTGGCACTGGCTGAGTTACCTTAGGGTTCTTAGGGGTCTCTGTGAAGTTTATTTCAGAATATTGGGCATCTTCCAAGAATTACCGAAAAGCTTAGCTATGGTAAGCGCTTCTTAGAAGTCTGTATTGACCAACTATAGAACTTCAGGAAGATGACAGTTTTGCCTCAACATTTTTAAATTCCATTTTTAGTTAAGGAAAGAAAAATCTATTTTTATTAAGTTTATTAAAAGGGACGAGAATAACATTTTCAGAAATTATCCTGTAAATTTTTTTTCTTTCAATTTTGCTGATTTCACCAGGATGAGGGCCATTATTGTTGCAATAGCCTATTTTAGTGGAGATAAAGGATTACAGGGCAAGCGGTCCCCCCGCCGATCACTCCTGCTGATCCTTACCAAACCAGGAGCTCACTTGGAAAGCAGCTGCACAGGTGTGTAAGGAGGCACAGGTTTGCACTAACGGAAGACACACACAACAGTGCGTGACGCTTGCGGTGTGCGTACTGCGTATTGTGTACGGGTGAAGCACTGTGCTAAGAGCATTCAGTGAATTATCATTACTCAGGACAACCAGGTTGGTAAATGCCATCCTTACCCTCCATTTGACGCCGAGAAAAGTTAAGTAACTTTCTCAAGGCCCATCGGTGGTTAAGTGACTTTCAGGGATTTTAAATTCTTAGATCAGGATTCAACAGATCTAAAAGCATGAGGTAGATTTGAAAGTTCGGACTGAAAGGATGTCACCATCATATTGTCCGGTGATGAGAACATTTTTGTAAAACTGAAGAGAATATTTAAAAACATCGCTGGTCTCCTGTTTCTCTAACGCTTTGCTACGCAGCGTGGTCCAGGCCCCAGCAGCACCGGCACCTCTGGGCGTGCTGGGAATGCACTCTCAGCCGCCCCCGCTCAACACCTGGGTCAGAGCCAGGTGACAGCAGCCAGGTGCTCTGCGCACTCCCTAAGCTCGAGAAGAGCATTCCCTTCCGCCGGGGCCTCGTGTTCGCTGCAATGCTCTCCCCCAAGACTTACACGTCTTCTTCCCTCTCGTCTCCTACCTCTCCTTCATGTCACCCCCTCAGAGGTCTCCCCTGACCCCCCGATGAAAAGCAGTATCCTCTTTCAGCCTCTATCAGCTTACCCCATTTTATCTTTCCTCATAGCAACCGTCACTGCTGAAACACGTGTCGGTTTATTATCTGTTCCTCCCACTTGGCATCAAACTCCATCCGGCCTGGGACGTTGTATCCCCAGCACCTGGGACAGCGGCTGGAACGTAAGTGCCTGGTAAGTATTTAAGGAAGGGCTGCTTTACCTGCAGGACTGCATATGACGTAAATGACTAAACTGAAACATGGACATCCCAGGAAACTGAGGGAAGAGACATGCCCACTTCACCCTTCTGCACTTTTTGCAAGTTTTCAAAGGAGTGTGCGCTGTTTTCACAACTTAAATATTTTTTTCAAATAATTTAGCCAAACCACAAACCACAAACCACAAAAACAAAGCAGATTACACCTTTTCTCTAAAAAGTTTTCGGCTTTATTAATGGTCTTAATAAATAAGAAACCTTCCTCTTTCAAGGGCCTGTTTGTTTCCCCCAGAAATGTCACCATGTTACGCAGAGAATTCTATTTTTGAGACTCAGACATCGCAAATCCGTCCTGGAGAACCACACGTTGTCCCCCCAGCAGGCCCAGAAGTGGCCTGCCCGATTCCCGAGCTGGTGCAGACCCTCACTCGGTTTAGAACGACTACCACGAGTGGCAGATAGACGGAGCAGATTCGAATCAGAGCCCACAAAAGAAAATAATCTTTACGGATGAATCATTTATTTGGACAAGACACGAACGTCTCTGGATTGCTTCCCTTTATACAGAAAGTAGAACATTTCAAATATATTAGTTTTTCTCTTTTTCAATAGAATTCATTTCAATCTGGTCCCAGGAACTGCTTCTCATTTTAGGATTCACGTTTTAGTAATACATATGCACCCATTACAGCCAAAAGAGCATACTGTAAAGAAAACACAATGGAAAATTACTGTGAGGTCTAGAAATGAATTTGGTTTGTAAATGTGCTCAGATGAAGTCTGTTCACTGCTGTACTGAGGACAGAATCAAAAGGTGACCTCTTCCCCCATGCCTTGTTCTCCAAATTAGCTGTTCAATGCCACATCGTGGTTAAAAACCCAAAAATATATTGATGGAGGAAGGCTCAAACACCCAACACACGCAGCTAATGCATTGCTCATTCCTGAGTAGGTTTCCTATTGTTTTTCAAGTGATTTTAAAAAAATAGATACCATTTTTATTCAAGTGGGGAGATAGGCATTAATGAGTTTATTGTCCTACTTTTTTCATGTTTAAAGATTTCTAGAACAAAAAGCAACAAATACATAGGTGCCATTTTAGAACACACTATGACCATAAAAGGTGAAAGTAGCTATTTTAAATAATTAATTTATGTCAATAATTAGAATAATTGTTAATTTGTAGTTAACTACAAATAGTCTGAAGAAAAAAGAACTAGCAAAACATCTTAAACAAACTGCATCTTTATAGTTGTGCACGTAAAAGCTCCAATATTTTTTTGAAAAAGACAAACACACACATAAATTCCTACCTTGAATTTGGGATAGTCATTCATTATTATGGTGACCATACCAACATATGGCAAAAACCTAAAATATGCGACAAAAAAGCCAGAAATATAAAAATTATTTACAATATGACGATAGCGACCTTTGAAAACACTGTAAATCGGCCTTAGGAAACAAATCTCCCTCGGGAAGGCAAGCCAGTGACGGGCTGTCAGAGCCATGGTCGCTCCTATCTCTAAGGCTTTCTTTTTCACAGTAAAAAGCATCAGCGCTAATAGCCAGGATAGTTTTTTAAGTAGACACGTGACTTCAGTTAGAGGCGCTACTTGTCTTCGCTTGCTGCATTCACCATAACAGAATTAAGATAAATAGTTGAGCCACTTGTAAAAATGGAATGGGCAACTTTCGTCAATCCGGTTTTTTCATTTTTTAGCAGAGAAGTAAGATTCAGATAGCCTATCTAAAAATTGCTATTAGAGAAGGCATCTAAAGTACACGGATATTCAGTCTGTAATGGGCAGAATCATCGTCGTTTTCATTTCACAGTGCTTTTCAGATGTAATGAACGAGTGTTTTGGGCTGTGAGAACAAATGTGAATCCCCTAACTTATACCGAAACACGATTATGATCCCAGAGAGAGAAGGTTCAAAGCACAGGCTAACTGACGATCACGCTGACAAAATTAATGGTCAATATGTAGGCAGTCGGACAACAAGGGAACACACCCTTAGTCCCCTTCGGTCTTATTTAAATTAGTAGCTTCAACCTCCTGCTTATACAAAGCCTATCAGCAGAGTGTCTGAAAACACAGCACTGACCCACTGGCAGTCTCTCTCATCGCCCCGCAGATATTCAAGTGGAAATGCAACAGAGTAAAAATGGTTAAAAGGTGAGCAGAGGCGAAAAGGGGTAGAAAGAGGCCCTGAACCACAATCTGATGAATGAGCTGAATCTCAGCACGTGGTAACCAGTGTTCTCCAGCCTTACACAGCTGGTGGGGTTTAGATAAGATAAAACAGACATTCCTAATAATGGTTAAACACAAAAAGGGTCACCTAGAGGAAGAATTGCCTTTTTTTTTTTTTTTTTTAATAAGAGGATATACTCTCTGCTGTGTCACTCAGAAGCAGGACTCATTGCTGGAATAATCATGCAAAGATAAATATAAGATTTATCACAGAACTGTTTTTTTAACAGTGAAAAATGATGATATTTAGACATCATCTAAATATCTACCAAAAGAGGAATAGTTAAATAAGTCATGATTCTCAGGGGAACAGTCTATAGCCATTTAAAAAGATACAGATGTAGCTTTGACACAGAAACCTATCTCCAACTTCCTGTTGGGTAAAAACAGATTAAATTCTATGTAAAATTATATATTATATGTGCATACACATATCCATACAGGTACAGAGACGGGCTAGACCATTCACCAAAGTGTTAACAGTGTGCTGTCTCTGAGATACTTTCTTGTAATTGTTATTTAAAATCCACAAATGACTAATCTCTAGGTGAGGATTTTTTTCAAAAATAGAATTAAACTCATGATATATATATACTATACTTACATTCGGTTTTAGGTTTCAGGTCTTTAGTTATGAGTTTTATTTAGTCATCACAATATAAACTAGAACTAATTATAACTCTCCAGATGTATAATATTTATAATCAATGGTTCTATTAGCCTGAACATTTAATTTCTTTGTTTCTAAGTATTTTTCTAGTTTCTGACTCTTCTATATAACTTAAAAGTTAATTCTCACCCTCTGGCTCTTCCCACCACGTCCTTCTTTTCGAGCCAGTTCTGGCCTTCTTTGTACAAGCCTCTATCGTCAACTTCATTATTATCTCCTTTAGTCAGAAATTTGATGTCTCCATTATCTCTGGAAAGCAAAATAATGTCCTTTCAAAAATTATTTTCAGCACAGCATCATTAGAAAAATATTAGTTCACTCAACACTTTATAGCCTGATATAGGCATTTAGAAAAGCAGTTAAAAATAACCTGATCCTTCTTGGTCTAAGATGACTGCTTACAGATAACCATTCAACTAAAGCACAAATCTAATGACAATTTTATAGACTTAAATCCTAAACGCTCAAGTTACCCTGACAACCAGAAAGCAGAGCAAAGCACAAGGGCACCAGTACGGCAATGATTAGCTTCCAGCAACTGTTTTCACTCTTTCTTAGTCCTCATGGACCAACTTGTTAACATGGATTATAGTCCTCTTCATTCTAGACATGAGTTTGGTCCCAGATCACACAGATTTGAGAATGAGGTAAATCAAATGCAAGTGTGCTCAGAGCCCTCCTCAAACTTACTTTTCCTTGCCAAATGCAGAGTGTTAATGCATTATTTCCTTCACCACTGAGCAAAGTGGTGTAAAATCCAGTTTGCAAAGAAACAGGAATCACAAATGGCATAAAACCAGTGTTAAAGAGACACATGGGAGTCATTTTAAACATACTAAACTGGTGCTTACATAAGTCTTGACACTAGAACACAATATTGCAGCATTATAGAGGTTTAAAGAGGGTCTTCTTTCAATAAGACAAATGAAAGAATTATAATCTGACAAGAGCTTAAAAGACCACAGAGATCTGAAACTGTGCCAAAGGAGCAAGCTGATTTGCAGCCATGGTTATAAAGGAAATCAAGAGGATAAAAATCCAGGCAGTCTCTCACAATTCATGCGAATTACAGCAAGTCCTCATTATTTCCTCAACTTTGAACAATTTCTCATCTTTAGAAATTATTTTTAAGCCAGGTGAGAGTGCTGTGTCACATCATGACTAAGCATATTTCTTCATCAAGAAGTTAACAAGTAGACACCAAGTAACATTAGTGCAGTACCAGTGTATTAACACAAACTGAAACAGGGCCATTCTGATGTTTAGAGTAAAATGAAGTGAATGTTTTAAGTACCAACATCTTTGGGGAACACCTCAAAAGCAGTGAATGGAATGGGAATCTAAATACCGGAAATGCACTAATAGTTATGGCACATGCACACACACACACGGGATGAGAAATCCTCCATTAATAACACAAATATACATACCTAGATTTAATTCCAGAATTCATGCAGGTAAAGATGCTACACTAAGCTGCATAAAGGTAAATGAATAACCGAGTACATAAAATGTAACATTTTCACTAATCATGTGGCTATATTCTCTCATGTGAACTCAATATATATATGAGCTAGAAGTAACTGTTTCTGGTTCTCAAAAAGTGTCTTAATAAGTCATCAATGGCATTGAAAGGAAAGGAAAGGCCATTTGTGGGGGCGGGGGGGGCGTGTGGAGAACTGATGCAGGATGTGCAATGACTGAGTCATGGATGAGTTGGGGAAAGGAATGTTTATCCATCCAGAGCTAATATTACTGTTGAGAATGCCACTTGGTCCAAAGTGACATAAACAGGTAGCTTTCTGCATCTCAGAAAATAATTCTCATATCAAAATAATTCTCACATCCTCAATTACAATGGGATTTTATTTTCCTTGGGACTCCTTCTAACAATATGCTACAATGCATCCCACTTTACATTGTGCAACTATGCTTCAAGTTCTTTAATGTATGTCAGTTCATTAAATTCTCATCAACCTGTGAGTTATTATGGGTAAAGTATTATCATCTCCATCTTATAGACTGAGTTAAGCAACAGGTCCAAAATCACCCAACTAGTAAATGGCAGAACTAGGAAAACAATTCAGTGCATTTGCCACTTTCTAATTAACCATTAAAACAATCTACCAAAAATTTACAAAATAACACCAAAAAGAAGTAAAGCATCTTTACTTTTCATGAACTTTGATTACTCTGTGAACTATGGGAATGTCTCGTCCTTCGACCTTAAAAACAACGATTTCACCAGCTCTAATAGGGTCTTCCCGGAAATTTGTTAGGAACAGAAGGTCGCCCCTGTGGAAGGCTGGCTCCATACTGCCACTAGAAAGAAACACAAAAGCACATCCAAATTACTCTGCGGTCACAAGGTGAACATTTCAATTCGTAAAGAATATAATAAACATTTGGGTTAGAGTTTCAACTTGTATAGAGTAGATCTATAAGCTTTAAACAAGCCCAGTTTTCATCTGACTGTGCAAGGTGATAATAGTGAGTGTGAAAGGTGACGATGTCTTCTTAGCGTGAGGTCTGAGAGGAGGGGGGCACCGCCGGGCCCCTCTGCAGTTTGTATTAGGTAGAAAAAGAACCAAGAAGAAAGTGGACTCTCCCAATGAGTAGCCTTAAAAAAAAGTCCTACGTCTACAAATACATCACTAATTTCATTCAGACCTGGAGACTCTGAAAGCTGGGTGATACTCAAGGGCAATTCTTCCATTTTATGGTGTGTCCTCAGCACCTAGACACAGATGTACTTTTTCAAGGAATGAAAAACAAATAAATGAAGACACTCAGGAGGATGAAATACCTGACAGCCAAGCTGAGGGTTGGGACAAAATTCAAACCCGTGTCTTTTGACTTCTGCGGCATCATCCTTTCGACCACATTCTATAGAAAGCCCCGTTTTAACCCATGTTGACTGTTTCTGATGTGGAGGTCGATAAATAATCCTACTTGATACCAGTTTAAACCCACACCAAAAATCCTTGGATTCAAAATCAATTGTAATCTAATGGAAGCTGAAATTATCAAAATAGAATTCATTTTCCATATGCTCATGTTTTGTTTAATGCATGAGAAAATAAATAAGACCTAGAAATATGGTTAAATAGGGGCTATGCAGCCAATGATGAGTGAATTTGTTGAGGGCAGGAAGGGAGAAAATGAACCAGACTAGTAGAGAAACGGGGAGCTTTAAAGCAAAATGTGGGTTCACAGTGGGGGTACCTCTAGAAGTTGGCCCCCTGTCCCTCCCGGCCCTGGCATGCCTTAAACCTGTAAGCGCATGCAGAACGCAGCAAGGTGACATGCGGCAGAGACTGGCCTGTCACTAAGTACCTGCCGATGTGTTTATTTGTAAGTGAAACTAGTGACACTAAATACAGTAATAGATCTAGCATTCAAAAATAGGAAATCTGAATAAAAAAGGTAGAAAGGGCAAAAAACAGAAATGACCACAAGGGTAAGAAAAAGAAAACATCTGAGTAAAAACAAACTGGGTGTTTTTTTTGTCCCTCGACATGTAAGTTTATTCTGTTTCCCTCTGAAAATAAAACAATCATTTGAGGGCTCTGTTGTCTTTTAAAGAATAACGGCTAAAACGCTTAAGGTAATTCCTTCATCTATTGCTTCACCTTTATTCTTTCAACGAAATTCGTGAAGACGCACAATGGGAAGATGTTTCTAGAAAGCCATCGCAGTCTGTGATAACCATTAAGAACTGCGGCTAGAAAAACCTCCTGGACAAGTCACAGAAGCAGGAAGAGTGCGCGGCAGTCGGGCATCGGGTCTATATCGTGTCCCGCAGGAGAGAAGTTCCTTGCAATGTCTGCACTTGCTTTCCTCATGGGCCCGGGATTCCAAGGTCAGGGATCCCCGAGGTCACTCACACATCTCTCGTGATGCCAACAGTTCACAATGACAAACCGAACTGCTTTAGAATTGTAAAAGATGCTTTAAAAAATATCCCTACATACTGCAATTGCACAGCTTCTGTGTACAAGTGTGTCTGTGTGATTTAAGGAGAGTCGTTGTGGCTCCGCCAAATGACTGTAACGTGCAAGTGACTTGGCCTCGCTGGGTCACAGGTTCCCTATCTGTTAAGTGAGAGGGCCCATCTCAATTTCAGGTTTTTAAGTTCTTTTTGTTTTTTAAGCCTTAAAATCTGTCCTTACGATGAAATCTTACCAAGAGTAAAACATGATACATCGGAGTGGAGGGTCATGACCGAAGCAAGGCTAAGATGTCTAGAATCCGTAAGCCTGGTCTCCTTCTCCCCCCTAACCTAGCACCCGACCCCAGGGCGCCCCTGGAGCACAGTGTGAACGCCGGCCAAGCAGAGCCCCGCCCTGTCCCCCCCACAATGCTCTCCTCAGGCTCCACACTTTATGGAAATGCCGTATGCCTAGAAGTGGCCCTTGGCCAGCCACACAAGGGTGGCCTGGCAAAGCAGGGCCATGGCTGAGGCCATGACATGGCGGCAGGGCCCAGGGGAGGGAAGGGCACTGGCTTGGGAGCCCAGGACCCTCCATGCGGGCCTTGGCTGCTGCACCGGCCAGCTGTGACCCTGCCCGGGTCACTGCTACAGCCCACTGTGCCACTTGTAAAACAGAGGGGCTCCACTGCCACCCCAGCAAGACTCAATGATCTAAGACCCTGTGGGCAGAAAGCATCCTGAAACACTTAACAGGCTCCAAACACGGTGATTTCTTTTCAAATTGATGGTTAAGTTTTTCCTTTTGGATGACTTTACGGCTACGTGAAGTTAACTAAAACACCAACTTTTCTAAAATAAAAGCTGTGTGCTTTACAAGAGCAATAGTGTGGAGAAGGGAACAGCCACCTGCAGCAGGACTGCAGAAAACGCTGGAAGAAACACTAGACACCGTGCCAGTCACCGGGGATATGCAGCCCCTGCCTGTGTGGTGCAAGGAAAAGCAAGTAAGTTTAAATTATCTCTGCTTAAAAGTCAATTTGTATGCAAATAATGCATTAATACCATATTATTAAATTGCCTTTTTACGTGGATTCGAATATGAAAATACAAAAGCAAATATATTGCACTGGAGCATTAGCATCAACATGATAAAAGCTCTAAAATGTCTGTCAGAAAAGATAAGGTTTTCAACAAAAGCCAGAGAAAGTAAATATTCTCAAAATGGATATAAATAAAGAAGACTCTTAATCGTTTAGCCAATGAAAACACTGAGTCTTGCCTGTCACCTGCTTTCACTCGAGGCAACGCTGCTCCTTGTCCCTGGGCAGCAGTGTGACAGCCTGCGGGACCTACCTCAGCACCACGACGATCGGGCTTTCGCTGCCAGTGAGGACGATCAAGCCTTTCCAGATCATGAGCGCAGAAGACACAATCATGGCGAAGTTCAAAACCTGGTAATAGAGCTGGAACGAAAAAGGCCAAAGCAACAGTGAAAACCAGCGGCAGGACAGGCGTTAACCCTGAGCTGGAGGTGTGCTGGTTAAAAAGACACACCGTGATGATGTGAACTAACTCTCATGCTACAGAGCTAGGTGGTAAGTCAACTTCTGTCCAGGGAATGAGCCCTCCCTACAGGTCTCTCCTTCAGGGAGAGGAAAGGGAGCGGAAACCCAGAGCATTCATTCCGTGGGACCTACCTCGGTAGAGCCTCGCTCAGACCGCCTACCTCCCCGGGACTCCCAGCACCTCAACCCCGAGGGCTCCGGCGACGCAGGAGGCACCGCCAGGGCCTCAGCTCTGCTGCGGAGCACACAGGTCCGACCCGAGCGCCTGGCACACGCGGTCTGGGTCACCTAAGACCCGCTCCTCAGCCCCTCAGCCAAAGCAGCCCCAGATGAGGCTTCAAAGTCCTCAGTACTTAGCAATGAGGCCATTCTGCATCTAAAAGTCAACAAAAACTTTAAACTCCTGGATATTTAGGTTTTCCATAAATGGAAGGCCACATGAGTCAATATCTAATTCTAACCTGACCTCGCCCCACGTTAAACCACTGTGTTAAGATCCACAGGGCTGGTCCTCATCCCTCCCTCCATCACGTGCTGAAGCACAGGCTCCTCCTTGCTGACAGCTGCCTGCCACACCAGCCAGCCCCCAAGGATTGAGGACAAAAGCACCACCAGCCCACGTCACAACACCCTGCCCGGCTGTAGCTGAACCATTGGCCCAAATGTCTACTGTGCCTAGTACTATGAGAAACATAAGCCCCTCGGGGCATCTGCCCTTACTGTCCTCAGACCACTCCCTACTCCGGTACCTGACTCAGGCTCCTCTTCGCAACCCCCCTGGTGGCCCTGGGTGATCTGAAGAGCTGTGTGCATGGCCCGCCTAACACTCTGGCGTCTCAATTCCCCCTCATCTCCAGTGACCTCTTCCCTTCAACGGAACCATCTACTCTCTGCAGCATACCTGGAACTGAACCGGCTCTGCTCGATCTTCACGTCTCTAACCCAATCACCCCCTCGACCCAACCGCACTGCCTGTCCTGTGGCATACGTGCTCACCTACGCAGTGGGGCTCCTGTTCCTCCGGACCTCAACCCTTCCCTTGTCTCTCTCCATCATCAGCACGTGGTCCCTCCCGGCACAGTATCCACATCCTCCACTAGGCCTGGCGGTCCTTATTCAGGGACCTTCCAGGAGTAAGAATTTACCCCTGCAGGGAAGAAACTTCCAGACCCCAACTTGGGAGAGGAAGACTGCTGAGGGATGTGGGGAGGACAGCTAGGGGCCTGTTTCTCGGCTTTTTCAGTCGAGTTTATTTTAGCCCCAGTACCCTTTACCCCCAGATCCAGAGACATGGGTACTGCCAGTACTTGAGTCTCTGAGGACTCAGCAGCATAAATGGGGAAGGCTTAGGATTCCGGCTTTCTCTGGCTGTCAGTTACCACGCTTTCATCTGTTTTCTAGCTTCTACTCTTTTATTGATCTTGTTTCCTTTCCTGATTGCCTATCTTGGAGCAAAAAAAAGAGAGAGAGAGAGAGATAAAAGCTTAAAACTATTAATTGCCCAGAGAAGAAATAAAAGCAGTGAATAAATATTTAAAGTGTTCAAACCAAATCCTGCCTCTACTCTCCTGGCCCCCACTTTTTTTGGCCTAGAATATTTAAAGGATTTTTTTTTTTTTTTTTTTTTTTTGATGCTGATACAAAGTGCTTGGCAAGGGTGCATTGTGGTGGGAATGCAAGTTGACATAACCATTCAGAAAACAATTTTGTATCAAGAGGTTACTCTTCGTCTAGTAATCCTACTTCTGGGAATTCAGCCTAAAATAAAGGCAGATAGGGAATTATGCCCCAAAGATATTTATCACAGTCTTATTTCTAATAACAGGGGAAAGCAAATAAATGAGCAACAATAGAGAAATGATTGTGTAAATAATGGCAAATTACTGCACTATTTAAAACGATGCTTAAAGACTTTTAATGACATGACAAAACGCTTAAGATATGTTGAGTATGGATTAATTCCAAAATCTGGGGAAAAAGTGTTTAAGAGAAGTACAATTTGACAGAATATTATGTGGCCATTAAAGCAGTCATTTTGAAGTGTGACACAACATGAAACCATATTCTGATATGATACTAAGGTAGGAAAAGCAGAACTCAAAACTGTCTCCTGCTAATATTATACCTATGTGAAATTATGTAATTCAAGGTAATTTGGAAGGATATGACTGAAAGTGGGGATATAAAAAGTGAATTAAAATAACTGTGATGATATTTTGACATAATGAAGGAAAACAAGAAAATAAGCGTTGATTCAAAATTAAAGTTACATACCATTTTTAAAAAACTCTTTGGCTATGATGTCAAAAGCAAATTATGAAACTATTATTAAATCCCCAGGAGAGCAAAAAAGGAAACTGGAGGACAAAGCAAATATAAAGCGTTGGGCTATAATACATTAAAATATGCTTCTAAACTAAAATTGGTTTAGTCACATCAATCTAAAGCAGAAGTTGTTCACCTGCTCTGCCTGACTTAAAGGATTTGATAAACGTCGTTTCATTATGAATTACAGACCTGTTTAGGAAAGTCCCAAGCCACGATTTTAAACAGAGACTGTCATTTATAGAGAGGTTTTCAAACTATCAGGCTCCACTCTGATAAAAGTACATGATAAAATCCTGCCATTTATCTAATAAAGACTGAGAACTGAGAATTTATTTTCCAGTATGATTTTTTATGCTTGAAAAATTCATCGAAGGGAAGTAAAATCAATTCCTCAAAAAAAGGGAAGTAAAATCAATCCCTCAAAAAAACGTCCTTTGAGCAAGATATCTATTTGCTAAAGAAATGGCCAATGATACAAAAACCTAACAATCGGGCTGACCGCAAAACCGTAGATCACACTTCCAACGCCCTACTTTTACGGGGCCTATCAATCTGCGTCTAAGATTGAAATCCTGAAATCTAGAAACATTCTGATTGAACTACTGACAAGCTGCCTGGGATCTAAAAATTAGACCATTACGTTTCATGGGTGCCTTTTGTTGTTGTTATTCTTTGCCCACTAACTTGGTATGCGTGGCACTTAATAACCCAGCAGAGTTTAGAAGCAAGCCCACCCTCAGTCTCTGTCAACCAAAGATGAAATGAATAGCTAATGTCTGAAGGTTTTAAAGAAACATTTGAGACCAGATGTTCTGGCTGAGCGCAGCCGAAATGCCAGTAGCTGTATTTCTTCCTCTCTTCCTCACTGAGAAAACAAAGAGCCCTTGTGTTTGCATGTGACTCTTGCCTTAATAGTAAGCAGGGGCAGCAGAGAAAGGAGGACCCATTTCCAGGATTGGTGGAGCATGCACGCCTGACAAGGTGTCACAGGATGCTATTTTGGAGGGAAAAAGAAAAAGAAACAAGCAAAAGGATAAAGCTTTTTTTAAGTACCAGGAGGCAGCAGCTTTGAGCTTCTGAATTTTAATTAGAAGACCAACAAAACATAGGCAATGCAACAGCTATTGATAGGCCTTTTCACTAGGAGTGGGAATATATAGATCTTTCAAAAGGCAAAATGGTTTAGGGATTGTTACATTCATCAGAAGGCCTTCTCCAACAGTCTGTGATTTTAACCATCAGTAAATCAGTCCCATAAGTCTAGATGTTTAAATAAAGCTCTATTTCCTGGAGAATTTATTTGGGGACAGTTTCAAAGCTCAGGGCATTCGCTGTTGGTTTTTTAAGCTAATAATAATCACCGTCACAACTCCTCTTAATCACAGACACTTCCAGGAGCTCATTGGCTATGAGCACCTGGAAACAACCGGATTCTAAACACAGTTCATGAAATTCAAGTCACCAGACTTTACCACATTACTGCACTAGTCTGAAATTCTACTTGGGAGGAAAAAAAAACCTGCCATATGCCCAAAGGAGTAACTTGTGCCCTGCCATGGGCAGCACCCCACTCTTTAAAATAGTTGGACAAATGAAACAGGATGATGTCAAATCATAAGAATTGATGTCATTTTCAAGGACAATCAAAACTTCCCACTAGAAACAGAATAATCCATGCCTATATGGTTATTTAATCTACGATAAGTGTGTAAAGAATAAAAAATGGGGTAAAGACAGTCTATTCAATAAATAGTGTTGGGAAAACTGGACAGATACATACAAAAAAACTGGATGAGCTTACCCTAAATATAAGAATCAACTCAAAATGGGTTAGAGACTTAAATGTAAGATCCGAAACCATAAAACTCCTAGAAGAAAACAGGCAGTAAACTCTGTGCCATTGTTCTTAGTAACATTTTTTCTCTTGTATCTCCTTGGGTGAGAGAAACAAAAGAAAAAAGAGACAAATGGGACTATAAAAAGCTAAAAAGTTTTTGCACAGCAAAGGAAACCACAGCAAAGGAAACCATCCATAAAACAAAAAGTTAACCTACTGAACGGAAGAAGCTAGTCTCTAATCTTATATCTGATAAAGAGTTAATATCCAAAATTTATAAAGAACTCATACAACTCAACACCAAAAAAACCAAACAATCTAATTAAAAAATGGGCAGAGGACCTGAATAGACGTTTCTCCAAAGAGGACATACAGATGGCCAACAGACATATGAAAAGATGCTCAACATCACTAATCACCAGAGAAATGCAAATTAAAACCACAGTGAGATATCACCTCACAACTGTCAGAATGGCTATCATCAAAAAGTCAAAAAACAAGTGTTGGAGAGGATGTAGAGAAAAGGGACCCCCTGTGCACTGTTGGTGGGACTGCAAACTGGTGCAGCCACTATGGCAAACAAAATAAAGGTTCCTCAAAAAATTAAAATTAGGACAATCTTATGACCCAGCAATTCCACTTCGGGGTATTTATCTGAAGAAATTCAAAATGCTAATTAGAAAAGATATGTGCAACCCTATGTTCGCTGCAGTGCTATTTACAATAGCCAACATATGGAAGCAACCTAAGTGTCCATCAAGAGATGACTAGATAAAGAAGATGTGGTACATATATACAATGGAACACTACTCAGCCATAAAAAAAGAATGAAATCTTACCATTTGCGACAACATGGAAGGACCTAGAGGGTATTATGCTATGTGAAATAAGTCAGACAGAGAAAGACAAATACCATATGGTCTCACTTATAAGTGGAATCTGAACAAACAATAAAATAACCAAATAAAAATAACAGAAACAGACACATAGATACAGAGAACAAATTGATGGTTGCCAGATGGGAGAGGAGTTAGGGGGTTGAGTGAAAATGGTGAAATGATTAAAAAGTGTAAATTGGTAGTTACAAAACAGTCACGGGGATGTAAAGTGCAGCATTGGGAATATAGTCAATAATATTGTATAACTATGTACAGTGCCAGGCGGGTACTAGACTTAACTGGAAGGTCACTTCATAAATTATATAAATGTATAACCACCATGAGGTACACCTGAAACTAATGTAAAATGATATTAAATGTCAACTATAATTGAAAAAAAAAGACACTTCCCACTACGAAGGTTCCATTTTTCTTAGCATACTTTATTATTAGTATCGATAGAAGTATTAGGCTCCATTAGTATCCATCACGGTATATGTGCCCTACACGTCCCCTAAATTCTCTATCTAGAAGCTTAAGCATTTTTCCTGGAAAGGGCTTCATTTCTAGTCCCTACTCTCTCTCTTGCCTCATACTGAAGAAAAAGACCCAAAGACAGTAATGCCAGCCAATAGCTGGCTAAGGAGAGAGCAAGAAAGAAGTTTTCCCCCTAGGTCACAGAAGAGTGACAAATCAACCCCAGCTGCCCAAAGACCCCAAGCTAAATGCCCCCTATATTTAAGGTGCAACCATATGACAGAATCTGAGAAAGAAGTTAGAGATACCTCAAACTAACATAATATTTTAAGTCAACTATACTTCAATAAAACAAACAAAAAATAAGTTAGAGAAGACTTCTGGAATCCCTTCTGGAACACGGATTCAGACCACAATGATTGAGCTCTACCACTGAGCTCTCTAGGCACAAGGAACTTTCTTTACTCCCATGCATGGTCGGGAAAACACTTCCCAGATTGGGAAGAAACTGCCCTGGGAGGCACTACTGTACAGTTCCCCTTGTCGGAAAGTTCTTTACTTTCACCTGCCTTTCTGTCCCTTCCATCGGCGGGCAGCCTTTCTCTGGGCGTCGGGCCTCAGGAGCCCCACAGAGAAATCTGTTCCCTCTTCCCCCGGGTGGCCCTTGGAACACGTGCAGACAGAAGTCACTCAAGGCCGAGTCATCTCTCCTCGCTTTGTCAAGCGCATTTGAGGTGCATTGGACCAGATTTCTATTTTTTCCCCTTCCTGGCCAACCTCCCCTAATTGGGCTCTTGTCAGTGCAAGAAAGCATACACACGTGCCCACGCGTGGGTCTGTGTGGATTTGAACCCCGGGACTCTGAGAGCCCGTCGGGAGTGTCGCGGGGCGCTGTCCTTGCCGCAGCCCTACTGGGATGCCTTGATTCCCCGCAGTCGCAGCCAGCCCCGGCCCCCGGGCGCGTCCCCTACCGGGCCTCCGATACCTGGCGCTTGTTCATCTTCCTCAGGTCCCTGAAGATGTCCAAGCCGGACGCGGGGAGATGCGTCCCCACGGCGCCCGCGCGCACCATGGTGGGGGCTCGGGGCCAAGGGGGCCCGCGGAGTCTGGGTGTCACAGAAAGCTGCTGGGCACCGGCCGGGCCCCCGCCCACCGGCCCCGCATCCTTGCAAGCCACCTGACTGGTGACTCGCTCAGGCGTCTGGGAATGGTAGTCTTGGCCACCGGCGTACCTGGAAAGAACCCAGAGGAAGAAGACTACCACTCCCAGAATGCCGCGGGGCGAGAGCCTCGTCCAGTGAGGACCCAGGTCTCCTCGGGAGCGCAGCGACGGGGCTCAGGAGCCTTGTCCGACCCTTCCAAGGGAACTCGAGCGAGTGGGTGACCCTGCATATCGCAGGGGTAACTTGTGGAAGTGACTATTCCAGAGGAATGGAATTCCCCAAGACTCTGGTCAGGCGCCAGGAAGACACCTAAAGCTCCCTCGCATTCGCGGAGCCGTGTACCTTGGCCATTGGATGACTGCACGAGGGAGGCGGGGCTTCTACACCGACGGCGGGCTGTGCCGAGTGGGGGGGCGGGGCGGAGAGGAGGCGGGGTGTTTGAAGCCGCCGGGTTCCGTGATCTGCAAGGGTAGTAGGAGCTGAGCGTAAGAGAGCGAGAGGATACAAGGATATATCTTCTTGATCTATAGCTGTGTCGCAACGGATATTAATTGCATGACTAAATAACGAAATTAGTTAATACACGAGGAAACAAGCTCACAAATGTTCAATGACACGGCCACTGTTAAGTGACAGAATCTGGAATAGAACACAAATTTTAAAATTTGTAAATTTTGGATTACTACAGTCCTGATCCTAGATTATCTTTAGTTCGTTCACTCACTCATTTACATATTATTTATTTCATTCATTTATTCACAAATCTTTTGGAGCACCTGTCCCTGTTCTAGGCACTTGAGAAACGTCAGTGAACAAGAGAGCAAAGATCATTGCCCTCATAAAGCTTGCATTCTAGCAGAAGACATAGTAAATAAGAAAATATACAGTGCTTAGAGGGTGGTGGTGCTATGGAATTTTTTTTAAAGGCAAATAAGAGAGAAGAAGCTCTGAGGGAAGGGAGCAGGTCACAATTTAAAAATATCCCAGAAGCTGACTTACCATAATGCTTCACTTGCAAAGACCCCTTCCTAAGCCTTGAAAAAATGTGGTCATACAGTTTTGCAAAAATTTCGGAGGAAGGTATTTAAGATGCTATTGGTTGAGTCCTGTTTTCTCTGCATTCCAACTTCCCCTGCATCCTACTCCCCTCATGTTGGAGGGACAAGGAGCATTTTGAGGATACGGCTGAGGAGAATTGGATTTGGAGATACGTTTGGTTTGGGTTTAGTGGATATACCTATGTGGTTCATGGTCATTTCTTGCCATCCTGGTGTGAATAGCTTCTAGGAATCCTGCCACCCACGGTGCCAATTCACCTGACATCACCACAGGAAGTTGCTGTATGGGTGGTATCCTGATATGAGGGTGTCCTACAACACCTAGCCTTGGAAGCATATGGATAATAAAGGAGAAACAAGATTTCAAATATATAGAGCTAGAAGCTAGTCTGTGTAAAATTCTTCTAAACATCAGCTGTATAAAATTGTAAGTGGAAGATACAGTTCTCAACAGTCTATCAGAATGATACAGTGATCATTAAAATTAGCACTAATAGTTGCTTGAATTAGGTGGTAGAAGTGAAGGTGTTGACCTGTATTCAGATTCTGGATATATTTTGAAGGTAGAGTACTTAGGAGTTTTTTAAAGATGTACAGAGAGAGGAGACGTATGAGAGATGAAAGAAAAGTGACTCCAGGGTCTTTTAGCCTGAAGAACTGAAAGAATAGAGTTGCCCTCAACTGAGACAAGAGAGCTATGGGTGGAGCAGGTTTGTGGAAAAAGAGTAAGAAAGCCTAGAACCCAGGTTTCACCAGCCCAGTATCCTTAGGCCACATCATTTGGACTTGGCCTCCACGCTACTGCTTAAGTTGAACACTGCATAAGGAGCAATGCGGGGAGACGTTGGGTGGAAAGCTCTGCATACTGTCCAATCTGGGACTAGTTGCTGAACTTCCACGAACCCTTTTTATCATCTATAAGCTAAAAAACCATATTGATTACTGATACTTTGGAAGACAATTTGGCAGGTTCTTACAAAATAAGCACACTCTTACCATATGATCCAACAATCATGCTCCTTGGTTTTAACCCAAAGGAGTTGAAAACTTACGTCCACACCCAAACTGCACACAGATGTTTATAGCAGCTTTATTCATAATTGCCCAAACTTGGAAGCCACCAAGATGTCCTTCAGTAGGTGAATGGATAAACAAAATGTGGTATGACCAGACAATGGACTATTATTGAATGCTAAAAGGAAATGAGCTATCAAGACATGAAAAAATATGAAGCAGCCTTAAATGCATATGAAGTGAAAAAAGCCAATTATAAAGGCTACATACTGTATGACTCCAACTATATGGTATTCTGGAAAAGATAAAACTATGGAGACAGTAAAAAGATATGTAGATGCCAAGGGTTAATGGAGAAGTATGATTAGGTGAGGCACAGAGGATTTTTAGGCACAGAAGAAATTTAGTGAAACTTTTCTATATGATGCTATAATGGTGGATACACGTCATTATATATTTTTCAAAACCTATAGAACCTACAACACCAACAGCGAACACTAATATAAACCGAGTGACAATAATGTGTCAGTATAAATGTATCAATTATAACAAATGTACATTCTGGTGGGGGATATGGATAATAAGAAGGCTGTGCCGATATAGGGGCAGAGGGTATATAGGAAGTCTCTACTTTCCACTCGATTTTGATATGAATCTAAAACTGCTCTAAAAAAATAATAAAATTTATTTTAAATTTTAAAAAAACTGTATTGATAATATCTGACTTGTTATAAAATCACATACAGACTGTGCCCACAAGTCGAAGTAGGGGCTAATAGTGGCCGGGTAGTAGATGAAGTCTTAGCCCGAGGCTGACTCAGAGGGGACCAGCCCGTGTATGTCTCCACCTGTGGTTATTCTCTCAGTTCTTGGATGTGTATCTGGAATAGATCTAACGGTCACTCTCAGAATCCCCACATTCTCTCTCTCGAGGTAGGAAGAACTAAGCAGAACACCACACAATGCCTCTTCCCTACCAAGACGGTGAACCGGAAGCAATAGCCTGTCCCTGGGAGAATGACAGAGAAATGACTTTTCGGTGTCATACAATTAGCTAAATCTGGAGGGGGCAATAAAAACAAATTGTTGAACTAGGCTTTACAGAATTTCATTTAAAATAATGGTCAAATATTTAAATCTTGTCAACCCAAAGTTAAGCGGAGAATTTAGGCAATTCTCGATGTAATACTGTTACAAGAATCCCACATTTCAAATAGAATAATCGGTGTGTTTCAGTCATAGGTGATTTTAGAGCCTGACTCCCGCAGCTACTGGCCAATTTCTCTGTTTAGAATCATAACATCTAATGCTTCAAAGGGATCCAGAATCTATCTGGGTCAAATTTCTACCCAGGGCTGGCATATCTTCTGAAAGACTGGACAATCATAAAGTCTCTATGGAAACACCAAAAGGCTTCGAAATTCTCTAGCAAAAATAGAGCGGGGGACAGCCGCTTACTAAAAATTAAGCTCAACACTGTTTAAATTGTACTTTATTAACACTAGTCCCTTAAAAACAGGAAAAGAAGCTCATTTGATGAAGGAGAAAAAGCAGAAACTGTGACACCCAATTAGCCATCCTTCCGACCTCACTGGCCACAGGGCAGGGTGTACATGTTCCCTCTGCATGGTGGGGCTGTGACAAATGTGATCTTGGAGATCCCTCATGGATCAATTCTCACTGACGTTGCTGGGCCCCCAGTTTTGTCTGTTTGACTTGTTCTTACAAAGGAAGTCGTTAAAGTCCAGGGAAATCTTAAAGGACCACCGAGCACCCCGAGAAGCTCCAGCCCCACACTTGACAGGGGCTCAGCCTCTCTGTCTCTGTTCTCAGCTCCGTATTTCTCCATCTCCAACAGTGCTGTGATATCAAAGAGAGTCTTAGCTTCTATCAGCCTGTTTCCTCCTGTTCCTAGGAAAAGGAGCAGGATTTAATCCAGTTTAGTTAGTATAAGAAATCGAACATTCCTCTGCCTACATCTTGATCATTATACAGTTGTCTTTGATTTATTGTACATCTTACACCAAAACATAGTATTACTTTATTTCTCCTTTTTTTCCATAGAGAAATAAGCGTATTAATTTTCCATATGAAATCCCCTAAACACAGGCTGATGCTATACACCCTCTCTTTATAATTTTCAGGCACCTTTGCTCCCCTTTGAGATAATCAGAAATAGAACTTTAAGAAATCTCCCATAGAGCAATTGACTCGCTTATGGATTTATTTGCTCCATCAAACAGTAGGAATCCAGAGGTGCATAAGACACAGTTCTTAGATTCATACAGACATGATGACTATGCAGTATAGCAGGTGAACTAGCGAGGCCATAATGAAAAGTATGCACTCTGGTTTAGAAGCCTCTTAGGACATTAGGGCAGCCCTTATGCGTGAGGTTAGGAATTGCTACAGACGCGGTACTAGAGAATGCATTACTTGCGTGCTTCTCTTGTGTCGGTTAAATGCCTCTTTATATTTATTATCAATTTCATTTTTACAAAAATCTATTTTACAAAAAATGGAAAATAAGTCTCAGAGATGATGAGTAACCCGTCCAACATCACAAAGCTAAGAGATGGTAGAAACACAACTTGAATCCAGCTCTGCCAAATCCAAACTCACACTTTCACTTGCTGCACCACATGGTCTCCCTGGTTCTGCTCTGTCCTTTGAAGACCCCGGGACTGCGTGAGCAGACACAGCCCCAGGCGCAGGTGTCCACTTTTGGTTTCTAAGTTCAAGTTACTGCCTATAGACTGATGGTGTTGGAAGCAACATTAGCCCGAGTCATGAACACAGCAGAGTCTCAGGGGTTCTGGTCTAGATGTGCTTGATGGAGAGAGGTAGGACTCATTCGTGAACGGAGCATGAGCAGGAAGACATCTGATGGATGACTTGGAATTTGGTCAGTCCTAGTAAGAACACTGGAGCCAGGCTGGCTGGGCAGG